GAGAGACGAGAGAGGGGGGCAGAGGGAGGGATGTGGGGGGGGGGGGGGGGAAGAGACAGTCTGGACGCTGGTGAGCTCCAGAGAATAAACAAAATGTCTAATTTAGTTTCCTCTCTCTGTTCTAACTCACCGTGATCACTGCTGCCAAGAGATTCTTGATAATTTGACTCCAGAGACTGCACTGAGGCAGAGGAGAAGAAGAAGACGAAGACGAAGACGAAGACGAAGACGAAGACGAAGACGAAGATGAAGACGAGGACGAGGACGAAGACGAAGACGAAGAAGAGGAAGAAGAGGAAGAAGAAGAAGAAGAAGAAGAAAAAGAAGAAGGAGAAGAAGAAGAAGAAGAAGAAGAAGATGAAGAAGAAGAAGAAGAAGAAGAAGACGAAGAAGAAGACGAAGAAGAGGAAGAAGAAGAAGAAGAAGAAGACGAAGAAGAAGACGAAGAAGAGGAAGAAGAAGAAGAAGAAGAAGAAGCCACCAGGAATTCAGGCATTCTTCATTTTCTCTTCTATAGGATCTATATCTATTCCAAAAAAAAAAGGTCTACTGATCCTCCTGCCTTCTGTGAAGAGCCGTTACTATGGCAACCTCACGGTTTATCAAGGTTTAGGGAAAAGAGAGGATGAGGAGGATGAGGAGGATGAGGATGAGGAGGAGGAGGAGGAGGAGAGCGTGCTCCTCCTCCGTGCTCCTCTCACATGTACACATCTACATCTACATCTACACATCTACATCTACATGTACACATCTACATCTACATGTACACATCTACAGTAACAAACACAGCAGCATTGTTCCGTCGATGACATCAGAGCGGTCTGATCTCTACAACACGTCAGGTCTGAAGTGGAAACATTCCCACACATACGCTGCTGGGATGAGAACCATTAGCAGGAAGTTGATGCTGTTGGCAGTGGACGTATACAAAGAGAGGAGAGCAGGTGGTCGGGCCACAGGCTGAGTCACTGTAACTCCACTGATGCTGCCACTGCTTCAGCCACAACAATGACCCAATTAAGAGTTTCTGAACGGGTAACAACTAAGGAGGGGGGGGGGGCAGGGGGAGGGAGCAGAGAAATTAAATAGAGCAGATTAAGGTCTGAGCTCAGGAAGATAAATGTTTGACCTAAAGCTCTGGTGGATGTTGTTTACTTAGACTGGATTATGGAAATGAGTGGGTGAAACATGAAGGACTGAAGCAAAGATGGAGTCAAACTGCTGGAACTGATGTGGAGCACTGCTGGATCAGTGGTCATGTGGGAGCCCTGGCATCGATGAGTACATTTACTGATGCTGTAGCGGTAAGTATACCTGCCTTACAGGCAGTAGGTCCTGGGTTAGAGCCTCAGAGGAACCACATACCTACGGCGCCTCCTGTGTCAGTCCATCAACCAGATCAAATTAACAGTAACAAATATGGAGAATAATTGAAACTCCAACTATGATCCAATCATTTCACCGTCAACGTTAATAAAGATGATTTAAAGACACAGAGGCTTCAGCATCAGATCAGGTCTGAGGTTTGGGTCAGACTGAGGACATGACAGTTCGTACTCCAAACTGTAAAACTAAAGTGAGCAGTGAGCGCAGCACTCAAGCTAATCATATGTAAATTCACAGCTGAGAATTCAAATTAGAGGGAGTTCATTGAGACTAGAAAAATACACAGCCTTTTATATTTCTATCTTTGTTCTCAGACTTGTGTTCATTAAAGGAAACAGAGTTGGCAGAGCTCCTCCAAATGAGCTGCACGGAATAAAGAGGAAACAGCTGAGTGGAGGTAACTGCCAACATGTAGTT